ATTCTGGTGAAGCAGTTCTGTAAAAACTGTAGTGTACTTTTTTTGTTTGCTAGAGCTGGTCTCTTATTTACGTTTTAGCTGAGAAGCCATAGAATATTGCAAAACATTGTTACAGCGCAATAACTAAAATGTTTCTAAACCTATGGACATTGGCTAGAGTTGTTTTAGGTTGAGAGGCAAGTCTAATTTGAATGATAACTGTACTGCAAGAAGTCCCAAACTGAGGTTGTGTTTCTTTTTTTGTAATTTATGTGTCCGAGTATGTATTAATATTGCAGAAATCTGTGACAAAATAAATTCATGTTAGTGGCTTGTATCTACTGAAGGAATAATTAAAATCATGTTTTAAGTATGTTTTCTATTACTGCATGTCAAATCTGCTGAGTTGGCCATGTTGGACACTTAAGATCTTTTTATCTGCAAAACAGGTATTGCAGGCTTTGCCTCTTTAAGAGGTCTCAACAGTGTCTAAAAAGAGAGCTTTGATGGGTGTGACTCAAAAACAGGGACAACCTACTTTGAGGTGTCTGTTGCGGTTATTCAGCCTGCAGAGCTGGCATGGCCTGGAAGCAGTTCCTGACCCGTCATGGTTTCTGTTTTGGTAATCTGAAGTAAACCAGGCAGGTCTCAGGTTGTCCCGAAATACAAGGCTAGAGTTAACCTATACGTGCAGGGGGGACAAGCCTGATTGGGACAATAAAATCAGGAAGCATCCCTGTCTTTATGAGCTGGGACCTTAGTCTTCTGTGTATGTGCTGGTTTAGAAGGAGTTAAAAGTCATTGTATTCTAAGTCATCAATGACTACATACTCCATTAGTCTGCCAGCATGAGTCACACAAGCCAATCGTGATACCAGTTTTCTCATAGATATTTATCTGTGAGAGATACTTCAATGAGGATGAGATCTAACACAGTGTAATAGTGCATATTAAAATAACAGCACTTAAACTGCATGTTGTTTGTGTGAATGCCAGATCATCCTTACAGGAGAAATATTTTGTGAAGGAAATAAGAGAGTGCTACTGTGTCACTCTGAAAGGTAATTTCTCTTGAAGGAAGGTTTGCAGTTTCAAGTCTTTTTACATCTTCCTCAAGTGATACCTTCTGAGATTTTTGCTTCTAGGGAGTCTGTAGATATTTTATAGATTTCGTATGCTCAAAGAATATACTGTAAGCTATTCTGGATAGTATTTCTAATGCATGGTTAACTCTGACAAGGAGAGCTGGACTTGACAGTCCATCAGGATCATGATAGTTCCTTCCAGTCTTCTGTTCCTGAGTGCATTTGTGATGCAGATAGCTATCCAGTGACCTGGAATGGGACAGCCTATTCATTTCTGACAAACAGCCTTCAGATAGTAATGTGTTTTCATTACTAAAATGAGCAAAATAATGGCAGAGGTACGAAAGGTTTGCTTCTTGTCACCAATTCCCTTGAACCGTTTGATTGTGTATGCATAAAAGCATCATAATGTGTAGGTATGTTGATACACATGTGTGCATGAGAATGCACAGAAAGCACTTAAGAGTCATATCAGAAGAAATGGAGCTATCTTTGTAAGCAGAGTATTGATTATTTATCTTAAAAGGTAGCTTCTCAAATACATAGAACTTGCAGCAGCCTTCCAATATCTGAAGGGAACCTATACAAGGATGCCAGAGAGGGACTCTTCATCAGGGATTGTAGCTGTAGGAAAAGGGGTAATGAGTTCATACTTAACAGGTTAGATATAAGGAAGAAGCTCTTTATTGTGAGGCTGGTGAGGCACTGGAACAGGCAGCCCAAAGAAGCGGTGAATGCTCCATTGCTGGCAGTGTTCAAGGTCAGGTTGGACAGAGACTTGGGCAACATGGTCTAGTGTGAGACGTCCCTGCCCATGGCAGGGGGGTTGGAACTGGATGATCTTAAGGTCCTTTCCAACCCTAACTATTCTATGATTCTAAGGAATGGGAGTTTCTCCACCCGTCATCATGCACAGATTTGCTTTTTGTGTGTTTATTATATTTTATAAGTTTCTTTACAACTCACATGTGCAAAACTAATTTTAACATGTTGTCTGTATCTGGAAGCCAAGATGAAAAGAGAAGAAGAAATAAACTTTCTTTGTTAGAAACAAAACCCAGTAATTTCCTTTTTTTTTTTTTTTTTCTAAATTGTGCAAGCAAATGTTTTTATTTCTACAAGTTTTGGGTTTTTTTTTCAGAATTATTTTATTTTAAAGTACTTTATTTAAAAAAAAATACCCTTAAGATATTTTTAACACTGGTGTTATTCTCAAAATTAGAGTTCACAGCTATGCTTGCATGTTTTTGTAAACTAAAGTAAAAATCATTTGTACATACAAATTCACTCCAGTGTTTTGCACAAAACTGTGTGCTTGCGCTGACACTTACATGAGCAAGATTTCTGTCTAAAACTCTGGAGGCTATTTTTGGGGCTGGTGGGAAAGTACAGAAATGACCAGTGATACTAGTGGACCTATTTCCTACAGCTGTTAATCACCTCTTCTAATACTGTGACTAATGACTGCCTCAGAGATTACAGATAACACATTGGAGTACTACTGTGGTTCTACTGTCATTACAACATGATTCTTCTTTTTTTTTATATCTATTCTGAGTAAGAGCATCTGTGAGGATTTAAAGTACTGGTCTAAAGTATTTTCATATGTAAAACAATCCAGGCCATTCATAAGAATACACAAAGATACAATAGTTGTAACATCAGAAAGGGATTAAACATCTAGAAGCATTAGCTTAATAAAGGAGTAAATAGTTAATAAAGGGGACAATCCTGCAATAGCATCCATATATATATCAATTCTTCATATATTTTTTGCTGTTATATATTGCTTATCAGTAGCTCAAAGTACAGGAGCTCTGTCAGTGCTCTTGGGGTATTTTTACTGTTGCACTGTCAAGTCTCACATGAATACCTGCAGAGATGCTACACCTCAGGTTTTACTCTTCAAGGATGGCTTTCTGCAACTTGCTGATTTCTGAGAACAGGGCTTACACTCCCCAGTACCATTTCTGACTAAATTATTAAAATAGCTTGGAAACAACTTGTTGAAAATAGAGGACTATTAATTCATGCTCCAGCAGTACCAAACATAAAGGATAAAACTAAGAAAAATTAAAAGGTGTCTATGTTGCTGTCATTATCTGCTTAGCTTGGACAGACATGTTTTGCAGTTGGTATGAACAGCTTATGTAGCTTTTGGTCTCCCATGTCTGAGCTTGCTATTTCTTTCATTAAAACAAGAGGCAACGTTTCTTAGTTTTTTCCTCTTTCAGACCACAGCCCTTTTAAAGTAGTTTTAAAGCTTCAGGTTTCTTTTGCTAATGAGGTTGGCCCTTGGTTGAGTGCCTCGTAAGCTGGAAGGAGTCATTCATTTTTATCCTTACTTAGAAGGTTTGTATCAAAAAATTACTAAGTCATCTGGCTGTTTTACCTTTCTCTATGCCTCAGAATATTAAGATATGTCTTCCTATTGCAACTGTAACTTGGGGCAGCAATGCAAAATAGAATGGGAGGGGAGGGGGGGAAGAACCACATATTGAATACAGAGAAGGTGATACAGAAGGTACTCTTCCATTTAGTCAGATGTCAGCTTAAACTGCCATCCGACAATGAAGATCCTATCATAAATTTCCATCTGGGCCCTTTTTTGTCTTCATTACCTGGTTCACTCTTTATTGGAGACCAACTTGTGCTGGTTCAGAAGCCTGGGGTGCAGTGGACCAGCCATGTGCCCCACTGCAGCAGTGCTGGCTGGCATCCATGACTCTTCTGTCAGAGCAAACCAACAGAAGCGTGCTCCTGTTCTGGATGTGAAGAGACTTCGTTATGCCTGATGGAAATGAGGAAGCTCTGAGACTGCCACGATTCCAAGCAGATTCTCTTGTCCTGAGGATTGATCCTGGAATTCTGTTCACCGCAGGTGTCACTTACTTATGAATTCTCAGTATCAAGTCTAATTAGTGAAGATACATTTGGTATAGAAATCTAAACTTTGTATATGGAGTTAGCACCCATGAATAGTATATAACCAGTTTGTTCAAGTTGCTAGTAATATGAGGCAGCATCTATGCAGCTTGCATTGTATAAAATATCAGCATATGTTTAAATGTCTGTGAGATTGCTGCTTCAGAGACCTATTTTAGGGTTTTTATTTTTTGTGCTTTTGCTTTTCTGCTTCAAGATACACTGTTTTTCATGAAGAGCTACACTGGGCTGTTCTGTGGATTCCTGATAGGTTTTTTTCAGCTTGGACTTTCTCACAGGAGCTGTGAGACGCTTAGGAGAGAATATTTGCATCAGGTAAGGAGCACATCTTCAGAACTGTAATAAACAGCTTTTGCGGTACTTGCTGTATTTCCAACGCATAAACTTCAAGAGCATTTGGCCCAATAAATCTGTGATCCACATAGAGAGACAGATGGAAAACATTACAGTGACTGTTTCTGGCATTAAAGAAAATAACCCAGAACTATTTAAAAAAATTACATCTGCAGCTTACCTTTTTTTGCATGCCTTTCAGAACATGAAAGATATCAGTTGTTCAGCAAACAGATTCTGATACATGCTGTGCTCTTTTTAATAGCCTTTCTCATTGTACGTTGCATGTGACATTTATATTCTAGAACTATTTCAGTGGCATTGTGTGGATTAATAATTACTTAGATTGAGTGAGATGAAGCTGTTTTAAGTAATTAACTTGAACAGGTTTCTCCTTAGCTATCAAAGACCCGCACTTAGTCTTTATGATGTGCAGAATCTACCTTTCACTTCAGTGTGGGAAATTAGATGGGAGAAAACAGCAGCTCCTGGTCCAGCTCAGGGTACATGCTTTTACTGCTGATACCTGAATGTTAAGAAGGCCGTCACTCTGCATTAAAGAAATGTCCATGTGTTGTGGCCCATGCGTTTCCCTTTGTCTTCTCTTCCTTAACTCTGACATCAGGATAGTATGAATGAAATTGTTAAATCTCAGTCTTAAATATGTGCGTGTCTAGGCTGGCTAGTTTTTAGGAAGTCTTTTATAACTCCTATGTTAACTCCTATTTTTCCTTTTTTCCTCACAGAAATACTCTCCTTGATTCCTGCACCCCACGTTCAGATCTTCTGCTGAGACCAACAAAACCAGAAATGATAAAATTTTTTCTTATGGTAAACAAACAAGGTCAAACAAGACTTTCTAGGTATTATGAGCATGTAGAAATTAAGAAACGGACAATGCTGGAAGCTGAAGTAATCAAAAACTGTCTCTCCCGTTCAAAGGATCAGGTATGTTTTGTAGTTCTTCCCCTAGCCATTCTATTTATTAGCTAGGTTGGAAAAGACCTTTAAGATAATCAGGTCCACCCATTGCTCCAGAACTGCCAAGACCACCACTAGACGAGGTCACTAAGAGCTTCCTCTGCATGGTTCTACATCTCACATTTTTCATGTCAATAATTCTGAAAATACATCAGTTTCCTTTCCAAGTCATTATTTCATTTGTACCCATGAAGAAAAAGATTGTATTTCTACATTATGGTTTCAGTCCGTTGAACTGTTATTCTGCGTTGAATAAATATGTTTTCCTGAGGCTTACAGAGATTTTGGAATTTTGTGTATCACTGCATGAAAGTTCCTCCTTTTTGTTTGAAGAAGCTCAGAAATCCAGTAAGAATTTATTTTATCCTTTTACTGCTTGTCTGGTAGAGATCAATAGAGAGCTATTGCTGCTGCTTTGCTGGAGGGTAGTAAGGATACTACTGACAGCTCCAAGTTTAAACAAAAAATTTATGAGTGAGTATGAAAATACTATCTGAAGCACGGGGGGGTTGGAAACACAAAATTTTAGGCCTGTATTAGGCATTTTTATTCAAAAGAAGTGTTCACAATTTCTGAAAAAAAAAAAAGAAAACCCAGAAGTTGGAAGATTTCTTAGATGAAAGTTGAGATTTTCATGGCTCGGTTGAGCCATCGGCTCTTTTAGAAAAGTACCAAACTTCACAAACTGTTAATGGCACAACGCATTGACTTGCATTGGAGGAGAAATCTGTAACTTGGATTGTGAGTGAAGATTTTTGGTTTGTGTTCTGAAGGCAGCTTCCTTATTTTTCATTAATGACATGTCTTTGAACAGTGTGAACCTCATTCTAGAAAGCCTGAGAAAAAAAGTAGCAGTTCCTATGAAATACCTTAGTTCACAGACTTAACAGTGGCTAAAGAAATGAACCTCTTCTGCACTGCTCTTGAAAGGGCATCTCCAAACTGAAACTTCACCAAAGGAACTAACGGCACGCTGTCATTTCAAGGACTGAGCAAAATGATACTGAAAAAATACAGGCGGAGGCATCTTGTAAAGCAGCGTCTAACAGCACCATCTGCTGGCCTCTCTCCCACTGTGAAAGACGTTAATTTCCCTCCTTGGGTCTGGAAGTCTTCATACTCCTGATATTTATATAAAAATATTGATCATTTTTTAAACATGAAAATGACCTTCAGGTTGTCCCTTTTGGAAGTTCTTCCAAATGAAAGTTTAGGGGAAGGATCAACAGCCTTATAACCCCAAAACAAGTCATTTCAACTCTGTTCCAGTTTTTCCATTTAAAATACAGTAGCATGTTTTCTGTCAACAGATGAAATGTTTTGTGTAATAGATGCCCTAAGAAATTTCTTTCAAGTCAAAATTCCATGGTGGATCTTGAGAAATCCATTGTTCTTTGTGGGCCTTATGAACATGAAAGCATAGGCTCTTTGAGCACTCTGTGCTTAATACTGTTGTATACTTAAGTAGCAGCTATTATATTTTACTTGTTTTGTTTCTGCCTAGTGCTCTTTCATTGAGTATAAGGACTTCAAGCTGGTATACCGACAGTATGCAGCCCTTTTTGTAGTCGTTGGAATCGACCACACAGAGGTAAGAAATTACATACCCTCTGGAAATGAGAGCTTACAGTGATTGTTATGGTCAAGAGCTCAAGTCTGCTTCTAGTATGGAATTTTGCAATAGGAATTAGAGAATTTTAAGGAGTCATTGCAAAAATAATAAAAAATCTGTGAAAAAAAGGAGGTATAAAAAATGTGGTATGTTGGACTTCAGTCTGTAGCAGCAGACTGAGCTGTTATCATGAGACAGTCTTTCTGAGCCTTGTGCTGATTCTGCTTTCTGAATTTATTTGATTAAATGTAAAATTATGTGGAGTAGTGTTTCTCAACAAATGTTACCATTACAGCCAGATCACCTGTCTTATTTATGGTGATTTCCCAACTGCTCACTGTTTTAACCTCCTTGGCCAAAGAAAATCCATGCTGTCAGCTAGAAAGCTGCCAATTTACTGTATTTAAAAAATGAAAAAAAAAAAAGGTATCTGAAAAATTACAAGTGCTGTTATTTCATACGTTCAGGCTGAGCCTGCAAGGCTTTAGTGTTTACATTGATTCCTGGTAATCAGAAATTAATTCAAAGCTTACTATTGGAGACCTTATCAGGGTGGTGTGGAAGGTAGCTGCTGACTGCCACAGTGTCTTCAAGTCAGAGTTTTAATGCTGTGCAATGGGGGGCAAATTCTTTTGGCTTTGCTACAAAGATGGCCACATCTACTACTGCAGCATACCCTGGCTCTGTGCTGCAGCTGGCCAGTGTGACCTCCGCTGCGTAACCACATGGTTACTTCATCTTCATCCCATGGTGGCCTGAGCTTGTGTACTTTATTTTAGTAGGCTTTACTATATTTTCTAGTTGCTTTTCATGCAGCACTAACTGAAATAACACAAAGAATATGGTTACCTTTTCTAGCTATTTATTTGCTCTTCACTTGTTTTTAATTTAATTTCAGAATGAGATGGCAGTATATGAACTAATTCATAATTTTGTGGAAGTTCTGGACAAATACTTCAGCAGAGTGGTGAGTTGAATCTATTACAAAACAGTTCTTCTCTTTCAAAGCTGATCTAGTATGAGTTATACCTGCTTATGGTAAGGGGTTGGAACTAGATGATCTTTGAAGTCCCTTCCAACCCAAACCATTCTATGAATATGTAATTTCAGGGAATAAATTGAAAGAGAATTTATATTTTTTCCATATGCATTTAGAAGTTTGAATACTTTAGCATGAGCATTTCTTCCAAAAAAAAAACCAACCAAAAACCAAAACACACGCACACACAAAAGCAGTATTAGTTGATTCTTCAGAAAAGTACAGATGGGTTATAAAGCATCAATCAAAGAATATCAGAAATATTTCTGTTAGAAAAGCATGCTCTCATATATTTATATTCAGGGGTTTCTTTGGCTCACCTACTCTTAAATTAGCCACTGGCATTTTGTACATTTTAAAGAAATAAAGAGGTTTTTATTTACAGCTCTTTTTTTGCAAGTCAGAGCATTATATTCCCTGAATGGATTTCATTTATGATAAAGATGGTGTAGACATTAAGCAGGGAGCTGACATCACTCTCAGTGAACAAGATCAGAGGGATGGAGCACATAAAACCTCAGAAATGAGTCTGTACTTGTGCTCTCCATGTTGTTGTCATGCAACAGTGGATACCAGATAAAACAGCTATTATATAGGTAGTCATTTCAGTGAGGATTCAACATCAGGCATGGCTCCAGTTAAAATGACAGTGCTCCTTTGGGTGGGAGATACTTTTTGTTTGCTTGTCTTTACAAAGGTTGAAAACACAGCATTATGATCCTGCTACCCAATATGGGATTTGTAATAATTTTGCTAGAAACAGATTTGCCTGAAATCACAGTTTGGCACAATTTTAGTGCAATTGCAGCACAAAATCTATGCTGGAATATGTTGGATACCCCCCTCATGGTCTGTAACTGGTTTTCCAGTCCTAGTATTGCAGCAGATGTGCAGAGCCCCCCTCTAAGGAATTCAGGGACACACTTGAAAAAGTCATCTGCACCCTTCACTGTTTAGATGCCTGGCAAGTGTTTTAGGCTGTTATCTATCTCTACTAATGTCACACCAGCCTGTTGAAACTGATGGTACTAACTATATCACTTTCTGAGTGTACTAAGTTCAGAATTTACCTCTTAATTGTTTTGATGGCAGTCCCAACCTCACCAGTGATAACCAGGAATGGAATTTGATTCCCGACAGCACAGGGAAGAACAATAAAGTTTAGTCACATCTTGTTTGTCTAATTGAGCTAATTGTTGCCAACCATTTGACAAGTTTTATTTTCCTCACTTGGGGCAGAGCAAAAAATAGATGTATTTCTTATACATATAAATGTAGTGCATATAACTCCTTGATCGCATATATAACCCAACCACTGCTTAGAAATTTGCTGAATTCATCGCACCAGAGCTTTTTGTGCTGTCCATCTCATTTCAGGTTTGAAACTAGGGGAACTGAAAAGGGGGGTGGTTAAAGAAATCTCATGCCATTCTGTGGTTCTATTTTTGATAGCATATAACATGATAAATGGCAGAGCACTGAAGAAGAGGGCTATAATTCTAGCTGGTGTTTCTGGCAGAAACCACAGAGCAGGAAAGTATAAGTCTGTAGTCTCATGGATTAATGTTTAAGATTTGCAGAATTTTAGCAGAATCCCAAATTATGATGATGATAGAGACAGAACTCTGGGAAAGGAAAGGACATCTGTCCTGCTCTAGAAGGACATTTTGTCATCTATTATTTTTAGGCTTGTGAGCCTTAAACGTTCTCACATACTCTATTTTTATCTAATGGAGTTTACAGAGCTTGAATTCAGATATCAGAACAAACATTAACAGAATTAGGGGGAAAGCTTTCAAAGTTGCCTGTGAAATGGAATTCTGAGTCCTCTTCGCTTTTATTATGGCTACCCAGGGAAAACTCTGCATACTGTTCAGAATACATGTTCCAATGTTTTCAATTACTTTTTAAAGCTGAGTTAAACTTAAACTGATCAGGCTCTTAAAATACAGTTTTTGTGACACATGAAAGATTTCCAGTTGAAGAACGGCAGAGTCGCTCAGCAGAGGCCTGTAGACTACAACTAGTCCAGTTCAAAGCATCTTTAGACCATAGAAGTAGTAGCAATTTTACCAGTGGGAACTTGGCCTAAAACCAGGGTTAGGCTGTGAACTGAAACCATGTTAGCAAACTAAATTCCCCTGGTAGCAGATAGATTCCCTCTTTCAGCAGGCACTGAGGCAGCTCCACCCCCACTGTGCAAGATCTTAACTGCTGAGGCTGTGATTAATTGTTTCTAAATTTAGACATTTAACTGAGGCACTTAAGTTAGAAGTTTGGTCATCCTAAACTCCCATGACCACTAGGCAGGGGAGGGATGAGTATCTCGAGAAAGTGAGTCATGCCTCAAGAGTGCCGAGTCAACTCTTGAAGATAACCATCTCTTGTGTTGACTGCAGGGAGACCACAAGGGCTTCTCACTCAGACATTTTGGTTAAAGGAATAAAAATACTTGGGGTAAATCCAGGCCAAGACTAGAAGGGAAATGGTGACTACATGAACAATTATATTGCTGGCACTGGAGAACAGTTAGAAGTACTAAGGGTCCAAAGCCTGGAGTTGCCTTTCCTCTCCAGTATATCCAGCCACAACTACTACAGCCATATGTATATATACAATGTCTAGATTTTACTGTTGAAATGATCCGCAGCAACATTTTAAGCTGTGTTTTTATATATATTGCAAACTTGGCATTAACATCCCCTTTTTGCAGAAAGAAGAGAAAATAGAGGTCTGGAGTTAGCACGATCTGCATTGCTGGTTTTCCATCACTTACTCAGATGGCACTGTGTCTATTCAAATTGTTACTTGTGGGTGACCTTCATGTTTTTTCTAAGTAAAAATTTCAGAACATTAGCTTTCGTTACAGAGGCAGGTAATGCATCAAAAGCAAAGCAGTGTTGCAGGAAAAGGCATGTAATTTTACAGTCCAAAACAGAAATCTGAATTACCCTAAAGTTTTGTGTCATTAGCAGATAGACTTCAAAATAAAGGGATGCATAATGCTTAATGCCTACGAGATGAGAGATCAAGCTGTAACTAATGGTTGTCTCACTCTTTTCCTTGCAGAGTGAATTAGATGTATCCTTTTCAACATCAGAAATCCATTTGTCTATCTGTTTCTGGGGTATGTTCCAGTTCATAGCACTGGCTGTCATAGTGGCTGTCATACAGGCAAGACAATGCAGAGGTTTTTCAAATTTTGCACTTACAGTAAGTGGCACCATTTTGGCACCTTTCTGAAAGCATGGCTGATGTTTGTGCGGGTTTCTTGTTCAAATCCTAACTCATGGAGATAAGCCTGGTACCATTTAAAGTAAGACAGGAAGAGTTTGTTTAGAGAGAACTAGGTACTACCTAGACATGAAAAATAGTGTTCTGGGGGAACTTTCAGGCTTACTTAATTATTACTGCAAGGTTTTACTTTTTGCTTTAAGTTTACAGTAAAATAGATGCTGAAATGACTGCCATAATAAGAACTGAATGTTACAGGTATGTCTTGAGCCAACTAGCAGTAGCATCATTGTAAGATTAGGTTTGTGCTTTGATCTTGCTTCATGAAAGTGTAGGTGAGATTTACTTTCTGTATCTATGGAAAAAGAGAAAGACCTGAGAGGAGGAAATTTAGGAACCCAGGCATTGCCACAGATACCTTTTACCTTTACCACCCTTCTCCCTTCGCAGCTGTATTTTCATGTGTATGATTTGCAGGGTATTAACTAATATATAGATATATATATATTTTAAATGAACTACAACCAAATACAAATCCTAAAACACAGTCCTGAACAGCTAAACACAAATAGCAAGTAAATAACATACAATACTAAATTCAAAGAAAATTAAACCAGGAGAATATAGCACAGTCTTCCAGTCCCACTGCCTGCTCACTCTACTCCAGCAATCCTTATGCCTCTGTTTGCTGTTGGTTAAATGCAGATCTGCTGGTACAAAGAGTTTCAGTTACGCACCTGAAATACAGTTGCCACCCTGGAATCATGTAAATTACACACCTGAAATACTCTAAAGTAATTTAGAATTAGTACATACAAAGAACATAAAAAAAATCTGTAAGTTTTTTTGTAATTGTTTTACTCCTTTACTAAAAACAATATGTAATTTCATTTTTTGTAAAATTTTTAATGCTTGCTACATGCTGGAACTGTTTCATTTGCTGAGCTTATATATGTATGTGTGTATATACTGTATGTATGTGTATGTATACTGTCTCTATTTATTTCCTTCTTGAAATTTACAAAATACTGTGGTATTAATATAACACTCCTAAATTAATTTGTATTAGAATAGAGCAATAAGGAAATTTCAGGATGGAGGGACTGTTAAGGTCTCTGAGCAATTATGTAACTACATTTTTGTATTCAGTTACTCTAGTTAAGGATTAGAACCATTTGTACTTGCGTGTGAGCTTTGCTGAATTAGAAACTAACGTGATGACCTGTTCAGTAATTATACATAAAAAATAGTCCCCTGTGTTACCGTATGGTATATTTTGGGTCTGCAATTGCCTGATTCTTTTTCCTTTAGATTGTTTGGAGTACTGATGATACCAAATTCTGCCTCTGGTCATCATTTTCACACTGAGAGGAATTGCCTGTAGGTGTATACTAGGTTACCACCAGTAGACCATTTAATAGCTGAGAAAGGACACTGTATATCCAAGAGCTTCTGCACACAGTGTTATTCTGCACTGTTTAGAGAAGCTGTATTATATACAACTTGTTGCAGTGGGTGCAATATGGTGTCTGAATGATTCCTGTAGAGGTTCATCTTCTACATGGATCTCATCTGCATGAGAGTGTGAATATAAATATTTGGAAAACAGGAGTGCGCATTACTATCTTATTTGATAAAACTGGAGATAATACTGGAAGAGCTCATGTCTGATGCATCTGCCTGACATGTATGATGTGAATGATGCATGTATTTTTTCCACTCAGAATACATCTTTCTACATTATACATTTCAGGAACAATTTTCAAGTTAAACATTTTGCTTTACATACGTACAGAAAACCTCTTTCATTTAGGAAGAAGAGCTTTTCATAACCTGAGAGGAGCTCAGCTTACTTACTAACCTGAAATAGCTGAAGTGAGGTGCTCAGAACATTAAATCTAAAACGGAGTTGTAAAGATGAGGTGGGTTGTCCAAGATTGTATTTATTTTTTATACAGCTTGAACAGCAGCCCCTGAAGAACAATGTAAGATCTGGGCTACAAGTGTCTTAGATGTTAATGCAATGCAAGCAATAATCCATCAATATGCCTTTCATAGTGTGTAAGATAATATCCCCATCTGGGATTAAACCATTTCCTTTGCCAAATAGTCTTTTGATAACTCAGTACAGAGAGTTTAGATGTAAAATATCTGATGGAGGAAGTACTGTCTAAAGGTTTGTAGCAGTTAACATCAAGTGTATTTACAGAACCTTTGTATACGCAGTATCTATCTGGTGGGAGACTGTCACCATTTCCTGTCTCTGCACTATTACTTTTGTGTACAGATCCATAGGAAGTTTATTTCAAAAGTAATAGTGAGTATTCTCTATAGAAAGTAGCGTTTACTAACCTGAAAAAAATAGTAGGAAATTACATGAAATCAAACCCGATGAAAACCACATGATAATCATTAAAGGCTATTCACCCATGCACAGGGCAAACCCCAGTTAAATCGGAGGCTGAGACCATCACACAATCACCCCCGTGCTTTTGGCAATGCAGCCCCTCCTATTAATGTGGGATGCCAGCTCTCATTTAGATCCAAAAACCGAAGTCACCCAGGATGCTGCATCATGTCTTGTGTCATAGCCTGAATCTGAAGTCAGCTGTCAGGAAGGGAAGGGCACCTTCTGCACAAGGCGGAGACTAGGTCCCATCTGAATCCTGGCCAACAGGATTCATGTGTAATATTTATACTTATGGGTGACACAGGTGTGTGTGATACTAACCAGTGCATGGACAATTGGGAACTTACCTCTTCTGATTAGCTACTAGCCAATTAAGTAACTACTTTAACTCTAGAGTAGGCATGGGGTTTAGAGAAGCTTTTATGTGTGACCTGTAAGGCATTTAGATGTCCACTTTCATTCACATACTTAAGGGTAGCTGTGACAGAACAACATAACATTTCTAAAGTTGTTTGTTTTTAAAATACCTGTAGGTAGTGCTGTGGGACGCAGTACTTGAATGGGCAAGTCCTGAAACCCCAGTCCTGAGGGTGTTGTTTCCTAATGTGTTAACAGCACTAGATGTGTATGACATGAGTGGGTGGTATTTTCTGCAGCTCTTAACACTCCAGCTTGCATAGACCTACTTTCTTGGTGTGATGATAACAATGAGATTGTAAAAATGCCATAGCTCTGAGAGCTTCTAAAGAGTTTCTAAGGCACAGAAAGTTGATTTTTCTATTGCTTGAACTGGTGAAGCAAAACTTACTTGAAGACACATTGTTAACTTACAGAAGAAACAGATACTTACGTTCCCCTTGTGGGCGGGAAGGGGGCAGACAGGGTTCTCTAGGACCAAGCATTTGAAGAATGTTGTCTTGATCCAAAACCCACATTGCATTCCATTGCAGCTAGCTGCTGCTCATAAGACAGATAAAAAGCTTTGATACAGGGAATGCTGCATGTTAATCAACTGTGTTCTTCTGTCACTCTCAGAACCCAGTGCATTTAAGTAGTAAGAAAACTGAATTAATTCGTTCTGAGAATTTGTGAGGATACACTTCAGTCTGTACTGTAAAATAAGTGGATGCAATGCAAACCTATAAGGATTAGCTTAAAACTGTTCTAAAGTATCACAGAACTTGAAGGCACCACTTGCCTCCTTTATAAAGTCAGCATAGCTGTTCTGGGAAGAAATGGTCAGAAAGCATCAAATGGGTTTCAATGCCTAAAACTGGCCTGCCATTAGATAGGCTAAAAGGTAATTGAAGTGAATGTTAGCAAAGATAAAGTCAGAATGTGTGACTTTAGATTAAGAAAAGAGAAGCAGCTCTAATCTTTGGTTGAAGATGATAGTCTAGAATGGAAATCAAAGTTTTGTAATGCTGTGTATTCAGTAGCAAAGTACCTGTGCTGTAATCTACAGAGCTTTTGTTTGAGCTCCTGGGTGTGTTAGCTGATCACAAGGTGCTGGCCACACTTTATCATCTCTTATGCCTTGACACACCCTTAATTACTTGCCTGGAAAATCCTGAGGTATCTTAAGATGTCTCCACATGAGGAAGGTATTTATCACATGCAAGTCCTGAATGTGCCTTTTTCCTTTCCTTCCCTCCTTCCCCGCTTAACTATCGCCTATATAACACTTACCTCCTCTTAGTATGCACGTGCCATAAAAACTCCGTGATAGTAGAAAGTATTGTTGATGTCTTTTAATAAGGGAAACTCTGAAGTTACCAAAAGCCAGCAGAAAATACCAATTGTAGCAGGTGCCATTTACTTCTACCATGAGGTACACAGCCACAGTGGCACAGAGTGAAATCTGTAAACCAAAGGCAGCAGGGGCTCACCTTTGCCTGGGCTGCCAACTTGTGAAGAGCATTTCCTAGCTGGGTGCTCTGAAAACTTTCATTACAGACTTTTCTCTACAGATGAAGAGATTAATACATGTGTTCTTATGCATACTTGTTTTAAAATCCATGTTAGCCTCTGCATAGATCTAGTGGAAACCCCTCAACCCTCTTCTACAGGCAGCCAGGATTCTTACTGGAAGCTGGACCTTGAATGACAGCTCTGGGTGGAGCACATGGCAGCACACACATGGAACACAGCTTTTTCCTGTTGCCAGTTGCTCAGACTGGTTTGCTTTGCTGCTTTTCAGCTCAGCTGGGTGTGGATCCGTGACTTCAAGGCTTTAAACCCTGAAATCTGGGGTCAGTTGCCAAACAAGTGGGGGGGATGCAAAGGATCAGAGATGCACTGGGGAGGGCATTCAGATGTAAACAATGAAGCAGTGTATGTATAAAGACCATAGAACATAGTCATGAGACCTGCAGGAAGGGTGGAAAAGCCAAGGTGTTCCTTGTGAAATCCAGGTGTTTGCCAAGCATGGTAGAGGGAGGTGGGAGGGGAAATGAAAGAAGGAGCTTTGGGACCTTCCAAAATCAAGATGGTAGATGTCTCTAGAGTAGTGTTAGTATCCCCATTCAAACTGCAGGTGAAGTCAGTGGTTCTGGAATGACGACTGTACGCTTAAGGGGTTACAGATGGACAGCACTATGTCCTGTAATGGGGTAAGCCAATCTTGAAATAAGCAGGAAGGCCCTTGCAGGGGAACTGATGTCTCATTTAACCATGCTGGGTTTGAGCAGAACAGCTGCAAGGTACTCAGTAGTGTGAGTGCAGTTTTCCTTTGACATGGTATCAGGTCTTTAGGGAAAAAAAAGGGAAAAAAGCAGTGCTAAGTGTGTTTTCTTAAACAAGGTGATGCAGAGAAATTGATGGGAGTGGGAAGTTACTGCATCATCACTGATTCACTCTCACAGGTTTTAGATCTTTGGGACTCTGAAAGGAGAGGTAGGAGCTCTTGCTCTGCCATGGGAACTGGAGCACAGTGAATCAGTGGTAGAGTGTAAAAACTGAAATCCAGGAGGAGTTGGCTTTATCACTTGTTGCAACGTGAATGGAATGTTACCTACCTTCACTAACAGATCCTCTTGCTCTGTGCCAGAAGTGAAGTAAGCAGCACCAGCAAGGCAGTTTTCCTAAAAATTCTCACAGTACTGGAATAAAGAAATTCTAACTTCTCAGATGAAAATATTTGTGTAAAGGTTGATTTACTTGAAAAGTATGGTACAGGAAGAAATTTGTCTGAGGTCTTTAGTCTGCCAAGCAAAGTAAAACTACCACCTTTGTCTCTGGAACCGCAGGAACTGTTGAAGTTTTGAGGGCAGTACTGCTCCTCAGTAGTGAAAGGCACGGAGATGCTCAGTGTTACTTCACTAGAATCCATTTCTTGAATTCAGGCCTAAGACTCTTTGCTTTCATGAGTTCATGTTGTTGCAGCTCTAGTTGTTTAAGGTGGTGTCTCCCCACCATTTGAATTTACCACATAGGAAGAACAAATACATAGAAATATGTGGCTCCTCAGCTGTTGTCAGGTACAGCTCAGTACTGCCACTGCTCCTGTGGTTTGGCAGAGCATAGGGCAGACTGCTGTGCTGAAATCCACAGACCTTGTGGGATAGAGCTGTCCTCTTCCATGCCCAAATCGCCTTCAGAAAATGAGATTGACTCTCCATCATGCCGAACAGAAGAAAACATTGATGCCTTTAAAAACTTGGTGCTGATGCTTTTAAAACCAACTCTGCTGGTTAGAATGAAGTCTACTAACACAAATATAAGGACCAGAGCAAAGCCAGGCTGCCTTCCCGAGCTCAAAACTTATCATAAGAAAAACAGAATAATAGGCAGAGAAGGCCCTCAAGAGATTCCTATCAAAGCTGGAAAAAAGTACTGAAAGTTACTG